AGAAAGACCTTTTTAAAAAAAGATTTTTGCCATAGGGCATGTGTGCTTGCCAAAGAGAGACACACAGAGAGTGAGAGATGAGGAAAGTGAGAAATCACCCCTCCCAGGGGGATGGCCATGCTGCAATTCCTTCTCCTCCATTCTCCTCTCAGGTTTGGGGCATGCATACACACATGCCTAGCATGAGTCTCAAGCCACCTGGTCCAGGACTTGAACCATAGTCAACCATATGGGAGTCCAGCACCTTAATCACCATGTCACCTTATTGACCCCCAAATAAATAAACTTGTAAAAGATTAAAATCAAGGTACCAGCAGATGGCATAATGGTTATGTCATGGACTCCCACATAGTTGACTGTGGTTTGTGTCCCAGACCCGGTGGCTTAAACTCACACCAGGTGCATGTGCGTGCGTGCCCATGATCCTGAGAGGAGAATGGAGGAGAAGGAATTGCAGCATGGCCATCCCCCTGGGAGGGGTGATTTCTCACTTTCTGTCTCTCTGTCTCTCCCTGTCACTCTGGCAACCACACAGACCCTATAGCAACAATGTCTCTACAAAAAAAAAAAAAAAAAAATTCCGGACAAAGCGGTTGGAATAATGGAAAAAAAAAGTTGGCATAATGGCTATGTTGCTGGACTTCCATGTAGTCGACCATGGTCAGAGTCCTAGATCCAGTGGCTTAAATTCACGCCGGGTGCATGTGCATGCGTGCCCAAGATCCTGAGAGGAGAATGGAGGAGAAAAGATTGCGGTGTGGCCGTCCCCCTGGGGGGATATTTCTTACTTTCTGTCTCTCTCTGTCTTTCTGGCAAGCACATGTGCCCTACAGCAAAAACCTCTCCAAAAAAAAAAAAAATTTCAAATCACAACTACAAATGTTCTAAAATGAAATCAAAGTAAAATCAATTAAACTATGCCCCAACATTGTATTCAACTCAATTCCCTAGTAATTAAACTAAGTTCCATGGAGCATTCTGGTTTCAGGCAACCAAAGTCCCCTTTCACCTCTCTATATCTAGTACAGTTATGGTCATGATAGCAAAGTCCTCTGAAAAACACAAAGTACTAAACCAAAATCTTAGGTTACAGAGATGAGTCCTTGGACTCACCTTCAATATAAAACATCCCTAGGGAAATAGGAGGATGGTTTGCTGAGACAGAATCTGTAGTCACTTGGAAGACAGAGAGAGATTTTGGCAGTGAAACCATCCCCATTACCCCACCCAACCCCCACCAGGTTGCTAAAAGCAGTTCAGTTTTATTAAGGTCTTTTAATCTGGTCAGTAGCAAATGAGTTTAAGCCACTGCAGAGAGGTGCAATAAACATTCTTTTAAATGAGTCCTAGTAAGGTCTTATTTCCTTCGGGTATGAGTTTATTGGATTGCACCCAAGGGCTATTTTTGCCAAAGGTAAAAATGTGGTTGTATGCCTTAGAAATACAAATGAGGGCTTGGGCCCAAATATTGTCTAGGTCTCACCAATTTTTTTTTATTTTTTATTTTATTTTATTTTATTTTTTTGCCATAGAGCATGTACACTCACTGAAAAGAGACAGAGACAGAGAGTGGGAAAGTGAGAAATCACTCTGGAGGGGATGGCCATGCCACAATCCCTTCTCCTCCATTCTCCTCCTGGGATTTTGGGCACACACACACATACATCTGGCATAAATTTCAAGCCACCAGATCCAAGACTCGAGCCTTTGTCAACCATGTGGGAGTCCAGTGCCCTAACCACCATGCCACCCACTGGCCCCTTTCTAGGCCCTTTAAACAGAAGTTCAATCCCTTTATATTTAATGAACATGACCTGGTTTATGTCAGAGTTCTAGCCTGCATGTTTATGTCCACTATATAGGAATGTGGAATTGGTTTGTATCTAGAAGGACACTATTAAACCTCCAGCCTAGCTGCACCAGCTCAGGATTTTGTTGTTTGACTATTTCATACTCTGGCTTTGTGTAGGTCACCCATATGTGCAGATAAACAGGGCTAGTTCTTAACAAAACTAGGAAGTCCAATTTGGGGTATAAATGCCACATCTGTTTTCCTTACTGGTGACACCCCTTTGTTCTCTCTTCCTTCCTTTTCTCTTAATAAAATCAATTCCTATCATGCTCTACAACCTTACAAGACATTGCAGTGCTACTTGAATGTAGCTCATTTTCCTTTCCAGTCTGTCCCCTATGTTCCATTTCTAAGAGCTTTCTCCTTTGCCTACCATCCCAGCCTGTTCTTTTTCCCCCCAGAGGGTAGATGCACTTGTCAGAGAGACAGGAAAATCACCCCTCAATGGGGCATGGTCACATCACAGTCCCTTTTTTGTCTGTCCCATCAGGATTCTGATCATGCACACACCTGCACCTTGAGTATATTTTTCAAGCCACCTGAACCAGGACTTGAACCGTGGTTAGCCATGTGGCATCTGGTTCCTTGTGCCCAGGGCTTAACTACTGTGCTATGGAGCCAGCCCCCGCCTGGGTTTTGTCTCTCTCTTCTCTTTCCTCCTCTTCATCATCAGTAAAGTGACCAATGCTGAATGCAACCATGTACTAAAACCCGTTAGTCTAGGGTTTTTAGCTTTGGTTGCTTCAAACGTTAGGAGGCCCAAAAGAGAAAAGTGCAGGCCAAGAATTAAGAGCAGGGCAAGAGAGAAAAAGTGTGAAAGGAAACAAGTGGGAAAATCATAGAGAACCTTACATTTAATGCATAAGGTGAAGACCTTGGAACAAGAAAACCCTGGCCTGTTTGTAGTAAGACATACAACCACATGCATCCTGGCACCAACATCCGCATGTGTCCTGGCACTAACAGTGAGCATTGAGCCACAAATGGTACAGGAGGCCACTGTTAATCTTGAAAGTAATAAGAAAATTGGGACCAGCAGTTAGCGTAATGGCTATGTCACTGGACTCGCATGTAGTCAACCATGGTTCAAGTCCCGGACCCAGTGGCTTAAAACTCACGCCAGGTGTGTGTGCATGTGTGCCCAAGATCCTGAGAGGAGAATGGAGGAAAAGGGATTGCGATGTAAACTCCCCCCAGAGGGTGATTTCTTCTGTCTCTCTGGCGAACACACATGCCCTATAGCAAAAAAACACCCCCAAAAAAAAAAAAAACCAAAAAAAAAAAAAAAAAAAAAAAAAAGAAGAAGAAGAAAGTAACAAGAAAATGAAGAAAAATATATTTTTTTAGTTCAGTAGAAGTTGCTATTATATCCTTTCATATAGGTTACTCTTATGTTGACTAATAGGTTTCTCATTAATTATGTTAAGTAGTTTTTACTAATTTTTTTTTCTCATAAGCATGATCTAGCTACAAAATAAAGGGAAAAATTAGTAATGAGATCCTGGCTATTTTTCATTGATCTTTTAAAATATACACATGTAGTTGAGAAAATGTATGGTTAATTACTAATTTCATCTTGGGCAAATTTCTGACAGTTAATGAAGAAATCTGTACCCTTGAAAGTGTGCTTTTGGGAACCAGCAGTTGGCGTAATGGCTATGTCGCTGAACTCCCATGTAGTCGACCGCGGTTTGAGTCCCAGACCCAGTGGCATAAACTCACTCCAGGAGCATGCGCATGCGTACTCAAGATCCCAAGAGGAGAATGGAGGGGAAGGGATTGTGGTGTGGCCATCCCCCCCATAGGGGGTGATTTCTCATTTTCTGTCTCTCTCTTTCTGGTGAGCGCACACGCCCTATAGCAAAAACCTCTAAAAAAAAAAGTCAAAAAAAGAAAATGTGCTACTGGAGGGCAGAGTTCAAAAATCTGCTTTGTGGTAGAAGCAAGGGAGGAAGAGAATGAAGACCTTTTCAGTTGAGAGACTTCTTTATTTCTGAATTCCTCAGGCTTTTTTGCTAAGTAGCTGCTTGAAAAAAATGATCTCAGAAAAGATGGTAAAACTAGCTGCCAAGGACCCAGAAATGGTAAGTGTTCTTATGTGTGTGTATTTTTCATTTTAAGTTCCCACCAAGCTACACTCATGAATTCCCTAGGCCAGTAGGTCTGGTCCTCGAGGGAGAACTCCAGGCCACAGCCAGGTGAGCCCCTCTTCCTTCTCCTGGCTCAGTGATCAGCACGTCAGAAGGAAGCCTGTCTTTAGACTTTAAGCCATTTTTCCAATGAGAAGTCATCTTTAGACTTCTGAGAGAATCCAACACCTCTACTCTGTACTGTTTTATATCTGCCTTCTACCCCCACCCAACAGAAGTTTTTGTGTTTAATCATAGAAGCTACTTCATAAGGTCAGAATCTTAAGGGGATCTTTAACACAATTGGGATACTCTTAAATAAATTCTAGAGTTTATCTCTAGAAAGAATCCATAGCCTCTTGATACTTCCAACATGTCAAATGAAAATGCCTTTAGCAGCTGGAAGTCATCACTCTAAAGGCTAGAAATTTTTCTCACCAGAGAACATACATGCTCTTCAGAGAAAAAGAGAGAGACAAAAAGAGCATGTGAAAGTACCCCTAAATGGGACATGGCTACATCACAATCCTTTCTCCTCCATCTTTCCATTCCATCATCACTTTGGGTACACATGTACATGCACCCAGCATGTTTTTCAAGCCTCCTAGGCCAGGACTCTAACCATAGTCAGCTACGTGGAATCCAGTTTCCTTAATTGCTGTGCTACAGGGATGGCCCCAAATTATTAATATAGTTTTTCTTCAATGTAAAAATAAACTTTATTTTTCTAGTCCACAATTATTTATTAAAGGCTTCATAGTTCATTGAAAGCAGGCTGTTATTTTAAAAAATAACAACTGAGAGGGACCAGCAGTTAGTGTAATGGCTATGTCACTGGACTCCCATGTAGTCAACCGTGGTTCGCGTCCCAGGCCCGGTGGCTTAAAACTCACACCGGGCGCGTGTGCATGCGTGCCCAAGGTCCCGAGAGGAGAATGGAGGAGAAAGGACTGCAGCGTGGCCATCCCCCCTGGGGGTGATTTCTCACTTTCTGTCTCTCTGTCTCTCTGTCTGTCTGGCGAGCGCACACACTCTATAGCAAAAACCTCTCAAAAAACAAAAATAACTGAGATTTAAAACTTTTCAAATTGTTTTGTTATCATTTTTTTTTTTTTTTGGAGAGGTTTTCACTATAGGGTGTGTGCACTCACCAGACAGACAGAGAGAGACATAGAGAAAGAAAGTGAGAAATCATCCCCCAGGGAGGATGGCCACGCCACAATCTCTTCTCCTCCATTCTCCTCTCGGGATCTTGGGCACGCACGCACACATGCCCACCATGAGTTTTAAGCCACCAGGTCTGGGACACGAACCGTGGTCGACTACGTGGGAGTCCAGCAACATAGCCATTACGCTAACTGCTGGTTCCCTTGTTAACATTTTGATATAAGTACGACCTAAATAAAACAGTGTGGTTTAATTTTTTAAAATGATTACAAATATGAAGTCTGGGATAATATTTGTAAACTTAATTCTTTTGCACCATATTATACCCATCTTTTAAAAATGCAACAGAAAGGGGCCAGCAGGCAGAGTGGTGGCTAAGGGAGCTGGACTCCCACATGGCTGACCATGGTTCATATCCTGAACCTGGCGACTTGGTTTCTCACTTTCCCCCTCTCTCTCTCTCACTCTAGACAAATTAAAATAAATAAATAAATAAAGTTAAATAAAATAATTCTTTTAAAAAATACAACAGAAAACATTTGGAATCTCCTTCTAATGTTTCCCTTTAAATTTGGTCAATTATAAGAGGACAGATGACATCTTTAGCCTAATATTGATCTTTACCTGACTTTACAGCTTTTTTCCTGAGAAAATAGTTACATTTTATACTTAACTTTTTTCTTCTAAAACGGAAAATATTTTTCCAGGGAAAATAAGTTCACTGACTCTTGGTGACTGGACAATTCAAAATGTACTAGAGAGTAGTAAATCAAAGCAATAAAAGAATCAAGGAGACTCTTTTTAAAAGAGTAATAAAATCCAACCTCTTGGACAAGATGGATCTTTTCAGACTCCAATTATTATATATACATAAGAGAGAAGAAGAAGATAAAAGTAATTAACTGATGTAGCCTCATTAAAATGAAGACGTACACTCAAATGTGGATGAATAAAATGTAAGCTACTTGATACAGGAAATACTTGGATAATGACTAGCTGAAGAGTTAGCTTAATAGACTGGAGAAGGTAGGGATCTATTAAATGTTTTCAAGAAAACGACTACACAGCATTCCTTAGATTTCCACATGAATAGAAATTTATAATTTATCTCTGTGACTGTTTGTGAAATCAGCATATTAGTCAATAATCTTGTGTTGCTTTATCTAAATATTCAACAATTTTTTTTTTTTTAAGATTTTTGCTATAGGGTGCCTGAGCTCACCAGAGAGACAGAAAGCAAGAAATCATCACCCAAGGGGAATGGCCACACCACAATCCCTTCATCTCCACTCTCTTCTTTGGGCATGCACACACATGTACCCAGCATGAGTTTCAAGCCTCCAGGTCTGAGACTCTAACAGTATGGTCAGCAATGTGGGAGTCCAGCAGCATAACCATGAGGCCATCTGCTGGTCCCCAGAGGTCTATACTTTGCAAGCCCAATTCTGAGTCCAATATTTTGATAATCTTGAACAATCTAGGGTAGGGATAAGGAGGAATGGGCCCCATAAGTAAAGTAGATGGTCCTTAGAAGCAATTAAATAGTACTATTTATATCTTTGTAAGAAAGAATGAGGGAAAGAAAAATATTGTTGCTAAGTTAGTTCATTTGCTTTAGGTAATGCTCTCAAAAGTGACTTTAATGAAGAGATCACTACAATTTGAGTCAAACGAATGAACTAAAAAATAATGTAAACACTCAACCACAACAAAAAATATGTTACATTTTTGAAGGTGATAGTACCCATAAATCAGAAGGAAAAAAAAAGATATATCATTCTTCTTAAAGCTGTGCTCCTATACAAAAGCCTAGATCAATTTTGTTAATATTTACTGCTTTTAACTAGAGCAGAATTATGAAGGCTTGTTTTATTTGAAAATAAAATGTATTACTTAGAATTAAGTCTGGCTATATATAACAGAAAACAAAATGAAAAAAAAAAATGTCTAAGGCAAACCAGAAATTTGTTTCTCATCTAAAATAAGCCCAGGGACCAGCAGTTAGTGTAATGGCTATGTTGCTGAACTCTTATGTAGTCGACCATGGTTCGAGTCCCGGATCTGGCAACTTAAACTCATGCCGGGCACGTGTGCATGCGTGTCCAAGATCCTGAGAGGAGAAGTAAATAAATAAATAAATAAATAAAAATAAGCCCAGAGGTGAAAGTCTAGGTCTGGGATAGTGGCTCCATAATGTCACCAGAGGTCTTTCTGCTGAGTCATCTTCAGTGTGTGACTTTCATTTCATGCCCAAGGTGGCTGCTGGAGTACCTGTCATTACATCCATATTTCAAGTAACCAGTCTGAGGGAGACATGAAGAGGGCTCACACAGAATTTCTGCCTAGAGCTCATTGGCTAAAAGTTATTTACATCATAGGTCTATGCCTAACTGCAAGGGAGTCTGGTGAATATAGTCTTTTAGCAGGTGTGTTGTCTCTCCAAATAAAACCGGGTGTTATTACTCAGAGAAAAGGGCAGACTTGATAATGGAATAGATTATCAGCAATCTCTGCCATTTAAAGAATTCCACAAGGCGCCAAGAAAAAAGTGGATATATTAGGTTGTTAAGAAAAGTTATGATATATTTTTCTATGAAAAATGCATCATGACTTTCCCAACGACCTAATATATTATGCAATGGATGTGTTCCAAAAGAATTTCTGAAAGTGACTTACCATTTCCTACATTCAACCATGTTAAAAACATGAGAGGTGCATCAGAAATTTGCTGGTGAATAACTTTCTAATGAGTTGTTGGAAAAGTCATGATATGTTTTTGTGTTCATTTTTTTTAATGCAGAAGTGTGTCATGACTTTTCCAACAACCCAATAGATTTTTTAAAATTATATTTTCAACGATCTATACCTATTTTGCATTTTTTCCTTTGATTTTCTTAAAAGTGAGGCTTACTCTAGAATACATAGGCTTCTCAAAAATTTCCAAGAACAAGATAGCTTCCTAATTTCTACCTCCTTCTACCTCTCCTTCTATCCCTAACCGCCATCACTGTATGTGTTTTTCTCTCCACTCTTCTTTCATTTCAGGCGAAGCAAGACCATTTAAAAGGAAACTGATGCTTTTAAATGTGTTTCTATTATGTGATGAGGAAAAAAAATCACCAAGGAAGTGGTATCTGATGTCCCAGGAATGTCAGTCTTTTGAAGAACTGATCCAGCCCAGAAAATGAGAAAAGTATACACATTACAGCAACCAAAAAAATGATCTGAACGTAGCAGACAAAGTTTTAGAGAGATGGGAAATTATTGTGCAGAAATAAATGATCATACTACAGTGATGAATGAAAAAGTTCAGAAATACTATATTGTGAAAAAAGATGAACTTTTTCTCCTAATTTGTTTCTCCTATTATATAAAGTATTTAAGGTTTTATTTAAAGTTTTATTGCAGTAAGTCAAGGAAACTGATTATATCAGAAATTGTTGGAACCAGCAGATGACATAATGATTACGTCACTGGACTCTCACATAGCCAACCACAGTTTGAATCCCATACTGGGCGACTTAAACTCATGCCGGGCACGTGTGCATGCATGCCTAAGATCCCAAGAAGAGAAGGGATTGCAGCATGGCCATTCCCCCCCCACCCCGCCACCAGGGGTGATTTCTCACTTTCTGTCTCTCTGTCTCTCTCTGTCTTTCTAGTGAGCACACCGCCCTATAGTAAAAACTTCTCTTTAAAAAAAAAAGGACCAGCAGTTAGCCTAATGGGTATGTCGCTGGTCTCCCACGTAGTCGACCGTGGTTCGCGTCCTGGACTCAGTGGCTTAAAACTCATGCTGGGCACGTGTGTGTGCGTGCCCAAGAGCCCAAGAGGGGAATGGAGGAGAGGGGATTGCAGCGTGGCATCCCCCCTGGGGGATGATTTCTCGCTTTCTATCTCTCTGTCTCTCTCTGTCTGTCTGGCAAGCACACGCGCCCTATAGCAAAAACCTCTCAAAAAAAAAATAAAAGAAATTATTTAACATTAGTAATAGGGTCTAATTGTATTTATTTTGACATGGGATAGAGAAGATAGGTGAATAGGAGAGAGACAGATCCTGAAAATTTCCCCAAGTTCTGCATTTCATGGCACAAGACTATTTACACACTATATCATATAACATTGTAAGATAATAATAGTATTAATATACATAAGACATCAGTATATTAACTTTTAATTTACTGAGCCTTACTTTTTTTTAAGTATTGAGATCGTTTCAAATATATAAACATTAC